GGGGGGGAGGAGGCTAGAGACACAAGATGATGGGAACAGCACCTCTTTCGGACACACAAGAGGGTCGTGGTCATGATCACAATGACCAACAGCAAAGCCACTCCCAATCCTATGATGACGGCACTGAGCAGCTTCGGCAGGTCTGACTCCGGACTCTCCTGGGCACCCTGGAGAAGAAAGAGTGTGAAGGAGGCTTGAGGGTCCACATACATGCCCCCCAACTCCCCAACTACATTCTTCCTGTCATCACTCACCACCACCACGAGTCCCAGCTGCAGCAGCTGTGTCATTGAGTCCTCATCATCATGGATCAACCTGTCCACAGAGCCCCGTTCAGGCCCGAGGGACATTGGCATCCCCCGGGTTTCCTGGTCACCCTCCTGCCCACCCCAAGGGCAGCCCCACTCACACATTCAGCTGATCATGTGTCAGGGCTGAACCATTCGGGAAGACAAAGTAGGCATCGAGGTAGGAACGGCCTCTGGCCCTGGGATGGGGCAGGGGGGAAGAGTTAACAGCAGCCTAGAGCCACCAGCAAGGCCCCTCCTGGTGCCTCTCCTCCTCACCCCAACCGCTGGGCCTGCGGGCACTCACCGAGCGTTGGATTCTATGTCTTTAATGTTCACAATGTAGACAGTAGTCCTGGTCGCCTGGGCAAGAGCCCTGCAAAGGGAGCAGGTGTCACAGAGGCCTGGGGTAGGGGGCTTAAACGAGGCCTGTGGCCAGGGCTCTGCCGGTGGAATCAGGAATTGCGTGAGCTAGAAAGGGGCACTTGCCCTGCTCAGCTCCACTGGCTGCGCAGTAGCACAGCTGTGTAAATAGACGAGGAAGCCCTTCCCCTGGGGCTGGGCTGCAGCTTAGCAGGCAGAGTGCCCTCCTGCCGGGCACAGCCTTAGCAACTGTACACGACAGCCCCCTTGAGGTTCCTCCCCGCTCAGCCACCCGTAGGCTTCTGGGGACATGCAGAGAGGAAGTGCAGGTGCGGGGCCAAGGTACAGTGCGAGTCTGGGCCAGGTCGTCGGCCTCATCAGGCACCAGGCTCACAGGCCGTGCTCTCCTCCGGCCCCCTCCCAGGCTCCCCAGACCTACTTCTTAATCTCGGTCACGCTGGCGCCCACCGCCTCCTTCACTCTGGAGAACTGCAGCCTCAAGCAGTAACTCTGGTCCACAGTGAAGAGCTGTGGGAGGGGGCGCGGGAGGGATGAGGTTCCGGGGGCCCAGGGCGGGCAGAGGACACAGGGGCTGGAGGCAGGGCCCAAAGCTCACATTCAGGGTCATTATGGCTTCCTGGGCAGGACCCACTGAAGGACTGTCCTTGGCCTGGACTGTCACTTGGTAGGTGCCTTGGAGAGTGGAATCAAGGCTGGTCACCAGCCTATGGAAGGTAAAAGGGCACAACTCAGCCTTGGAACTCAAGCTGGAGTCCTCTGGAACCCACTTGTACGTTTCCGAGGATGGGGAACTCACTGACTTGAGGTCCCCTTTGGGCTCCCCCCGCCCCCATCCAGGGCTGCCGCAGTTACTCAATGTGGCCAATGAACACGTCAGCCTCCGAGGAGGTGGAAGCCTGGAAGAAGCCCGGATAAGGGGTCACGACCCCATCCTTGGCGATGAAGTCCACTTGGAGGAGGGAGAAGACGATGGCCCCGTTGCTCCCTGAGTCATTGTCTCTGGCCTGGGAGCGAGAGTGGACAACCTCTGTGGGCCAGGCCAGGCCAGGCCAAGCCAGGGACCCCTCACCCCCAGCAGGAATCAGAAGCTAGGGTGGCCGAAAGGCTGGTCTGCATAATTTCTATTGGTCTTCCACAGGCCACCCCAACTGAGCAAACGCTCTAAACAAATGCAGGTTCAGGCAAGTCCCTCTCTCTGGTCCCCCAACCCAACAGGTTACCACCCAAAGTCCCTTTCAGGTGGAAATTCTGCCCTGCACATCACCACCAACCCCCCAATGGCACACAAACATACACACACAAGCACAGGGACACTCAGATTTCCTGAGCACCTACTGTGTGCCAGGCTCCTTCCCTTGGAGCCCTCATTTCATTGCTCACTGATGTGAGTACAGATTCCCCTAATGAACCATGAAGTGACTAGGGGAGAGGGCACAAATATTTTTATTTATCCTAGTGCCTTTTAGAAAAAAATATAGCCAACACACAGAACCACGAGTCCACTGATGTCTCTATTCAGGATGAAGCCCAAGCTGATGTTTAAGTTTCCAAAAAAAGTTGATTTAAAGAAAATTATTCAAAGCCAAGGCCAGACTCATGACATTGGAAGGCAATTGGCTGAAGGCTGGAAAACTGTTTAAGGCTTGAAAGTACCTAGAGAGGGAGAATTACTATCCCTATTTTCTGGGAGGAAACTGAGGCTCTGAGAGAGGCCCTGTCCTACCAAAGACAGCTCTAAGTGGGGCAGGCCAGGCCGTCTATCTCCTACACCCACGTCCTTTCCAAAGCACAGCAAGTGGCACCCAGATACCATTGCCTTTGGGTTAGAGGCCACTGCCAGGAGCTGCCAGCTTCTTGTCTAGGAGGGAAACTGAGTTCCAGAAAGGCATGGCGGCTCCCCAGGTCAGTAAGAGGCCCAGCCTGACCCAGGCCCCAGGCCCCAGGCTATGTGGGAGGCCTCACCCCAGCTTGGCATAGCCACCACCCTCTAATAAATACCCACATCCAACATCATAAAGAATTGAGTATTTTTCTGATGTTGCTCTGGAAATTATTTAACGACAAGAAACCTGTTTAATGTACAGTTGATTTCTCTCTAATACTCAAGAATCCTGTGTAGTGAGACAAATCTAGCCTGCAAGTGGTTTTTATGGTCATGAAATTTTTATGAATACTAAATTTAACAATGAATGGAGTTTAATCATATCAATTAGGCAGGTGTTCATTTCCATTCTGGGGTTTTCTTTTCATATGTTGAAGTCAATAAATTTCCTTTCCATTGTTAAAACATTTAGGGGGCTGCTCAAAGGCCTGAAGGCCTTGGCCCTCTGTTTTCTGGGTTAATGTGACTGACAAAGTCTAGAGCCAAGGACTTACCCGGACAGAAGCCACCTGCTGGTTGGGCAACACAAGTTCTGGGATGATCACTACAAGTGTGGGTAGAAAGGTGTCAATGGGGTCAGAGCCAGTGCCCACCTGGCCTAGTGCTCACCACAAGTTTAGCTTATTTCCCGAAACCTGCCCACAACCTCTCCACCACCAGAGACTCCCATAACAACTACCCTTGAGCCATTAGTTAGCAGGTCATCCATCTCCCGTTGTGCAGATGGGGAAACTCAGACCCAGAGAGGGAAGTCCTGGTCCAAGAACAGATATGAATTGGGGCAGAGCTGGGGTAAACACTCAGGTCTCCCCTCCTGTTGTAACCTCGGGGGAGAGGCAGGATTGGAGGCCTTCCTCCCTTTCTAAGGGCCCACTTGGGGTCTAAGGAGGGTCTATGAGAGTTGTCCAAAGGTAGTCCTGGGGGCAGGGAAGGACAGAGTTTCTACTTACCAAAAGTCTTATCCTCAGGCAGAAAATAGGGTGCATTGTCATTTATGTCCTCGATGGTGATGGGGAGGCTTCCTAGGAAACAAGGTTGAGTGGTTCTGGTCTCTAGGCAAAGGCTTCGCCCAGAAAGCCTGGGCCTCAACCATGTTCCCAGCAACCTCGCTCCCATGCACCCGCACTCAGTTCCTTCCCCTGTTCCTGACCTGAGACGCCCACTCAGTCTCCTCTGGCCTTTGTGGGAGGGAGTATCCTTCCCAGACCTCAGAGAGGGTAAGCAACATATCCACAGTCACACAGCCAGAGCAGTGAGCTGGGATTGAGCCCAACCCAGGTATATGTCACCGAACCACTTTATACTGACACTTACTAGCTGTGTAAGCTATGTTATTGAACCTCCCACTCTGTGCCTCAGTTTCCTCATTATAAAATTGTACAGGGATCACCTACCTCATGGACTGTGTGGGAGTGAACTGAAGAAATACTTACCAGGTGACTGGCATAGCCCTTGGCTGAAGTAAGGACTAAGTATATGCCAGCTATTAATGTGGTTATTTTGCTACTTGGGTCAAAGGCGGGACAAAAGTACATGCCTGACTCTGAAGTGCACTGTGTCCTTCATACTACTTCACAAAATTATAGTGTTAGTGCTTGCTATGTGCCAAGCACTGTGCTAAATGCTTTACATGCCTGTTCTCATTTGATCTGCACAGCCAACCTACTGCCCAATTCCACCTGACAGATGGGGAAAATAAAGCTTGGGAAAGTGTCACAGCTTTCCTGGTGACACAGCTGGTAAGAGCTAGAGCCAGGATTTGAACCCAGACCTTGCAGGTTCCAGCCCAGGGCTCCTTCCCACAGCCCCTATGCTGCAGCCTGCCGAGCCCTACATGCCAGGCCACCTCACCATTGTCACTGTAGGCCTGGAAGCGGGGGTCCGTTGTGAGGTCATAGGCCCGCACGACCAGCGTGACCAGGTCACAGGTCTCATAGTCAATGGCCTGGCTCTGACTGATGAACACAGAGCCATTGGCCACCACAGAGAACCAGCCGTGGCACAGGCTGCCCACGTCGGCCCCGGCCTTGGTACAGATGACGTTCACAAGCTGCACCTCCAGCTGGGCATCAGTATCCACATCCAAGGCGACCACCTGAGCCACCAGGCCATGCTGCGAGCCATTCTCAGCCACACGGATGCCCTGGAGCGAGGCCGGGCTCAGGGTGGGTGGCTCATCGTTGACATCCTGCACACGCACAAAGATTCCTGCTGTGGCCTCAGCTCCCTGGGGGCCTGGGTTCTCAGCACTCACTGTCAGATTGAAGGACGCCTGGGTCTCATAGTCCAGGCTCACATCTGAGGGCAGCCAAAGGCTGCCCTCAGCCCACCCAGAACCCAGCAGTGAGCCTCGGATCATGAAGTTGTTGGCGCCGCTCCCCGACAGGCTGAAGCTGATGCGGTTGTTGGCTTCCGTCTGGTCTGCATCCGAGGCCTTCACCACGCCCACCAGCACTCCTGCGGCAGAGGGGCAGAGTTCCCAGGGCCCCTGGCCTGACCACTGGAGGCCTCCCCTGCTCCCACCTCCCTTGGAGGGGTCATATGCCACAGTGGGCCCCAGTCCCCATGCCCAGCCTGGCCCAGAGAGGACTTACCTGGGTCTCTCTCCTTCACAAGGAAGATGTAGTTGGACTGGTTGAAGATGGGCACATTATCATTGATGTCCTGCAGACAGGGACAGATCTGAGTCTAGGGGCCTCAGAAGCGCCCAGGGCTCAGCTTCCCCCAGAGCCAGTCTGAGAAACCAACACTTCCTCCAGCCCGAGGCCTAGACTGTGATCTCAGAGGGCACTGCCCACTTCACAGATGAGGAAACAGCTTCGAGAGGATGGAAGCAGCCTAGGTCTCCCCCTGAGGCTCAGAAGCCTGGGGCGGGCCCTCTGAAGTTAGTCATACACTTTCAGGGAGCCCTGCCTCCTCTCTGCTGCTCTCACCGCAGCTCAGAGCTGTCTTAGGCCCTGTCTTCTGGAAGGATGCTTCCTAGTCCCCCTGTGTCCCTGTCTGGCCCAGCTTGACTCGCATCTCTCCGATTTATTGTGTTGGCACTGATACCACTGTGTTTCCACCAAGGCCCTCGTCCCCTTTCCTCCTGCCTCCCCTGCCCTCAGCCAACCCCACAACACTCGACACTCCTCTCTGCTCAGACACCTGCCAGGGCTGACACCTGGTCCTGCCTCATTCTCTCCCTGTTTCTGTTCTCACCTTCCCTCTCCAGTGCCGGCTGCCCCATGCAGTGTTGCCACTGTTGGCAGAGCATACAGCCAACTGCTCCTGCCACTTTCACCCCTGACACGGGTGTGCTGGGGTGTCCTTGGCTTTTCCAGCCCTCCCCCAGGTAGCCCATAGATTCCTGCTTTTGCTTTCAGCTTTTTCTAAGTAACGGTAGAATGAATATTTTTAAAAACAAAGCTCCCCGTCCCCACTTAACTAGACCTGTTTTCTGATGGCTATTTCCCAGAAATGGCGTGACTGGCTCAATGTACATGGCCAGCTGCCTTCTCGTGGCCTTCCTAACTCTTAACTCGCAGGAGTGGGTAAGAGCGCAGCTGTGAGTCAAATCTGGCCCCCACCTCTGCCTCGAGTGTGACTTTGACCTCTTTGGGCCTCAATGTCTTCATCTGCAAAATGGGCTCACAGGGCCATAGTGAGGACTAGCTCATGGCTATGCAAGGACCTACTCACTGACTGAATACAGTGCTGCTTCCTTCCTTCTTTGTGGCCCACTTCTATTTTAAGGGCAGTTGACAAGCCCTAATTCAGCTTCTGTTTCTCCATGTTCCCTGAGGTATCACTCTGATCCTTGTAGGAAAGTGGCACTTCCCAACCCAAGGGAACACAAGGTTGCTCTGTAACCTTGTGCAGGCTGTGAACTGGACACCTGAGGGGGCTCCATCCACACATCACGGACATAGTCAAGGTGCACATTTGTTACAATGCTTTTCTTTCTTTTCTATTTTTTTTGTTTATTTTTGTTTAAAATATTACAGACATCCCTTTTTCTCCCCAATGACCCATTCCACCCCAGTCCCTCTCCCCACCATTGTCTGTGTCCTTGGGTTGTGCATATATGCATATAAGTTCTTTGGTTACTCACTCCCCCTTCATCCACCCACCCTCCTCCATCCCTCTGACATTCGTCAGTCTGATCCATGCTTCCATGTCATTGAATCTATTCTGTTCATCAGCTTATTAAGATCTTTAGATTCCACATATAAGTGAGATCATGTGATGTTTGTCTTTCGCTGCCTGGCTTATTTCACTTAGCATAATTTTCTCCAGGTCCCTCCATACTGTCCCAAAGGGTAAGAGATCCTTCTTCTTTACAGCTGCATAGTATTCCATGGTGTAAATGTCCCCCAGCTTTTTTATCCACTCATCTACTGATGGGCACTTGGGCTGTTTCCAAACCTTAGCTATTGCAAATTGCGCTGCTATGTTACAATGCTTTTCTAAAGTAAGAAGACCTGTGGGCTGGTTGCAGCCTTAACCCAGACAGACTAGGTTCAAAACCTCATTTTGAGGCCCTGGGCAAGCTACTCAACCTCTCTGTGCCTCAGTCTCTTGATCAATAAAGTAATAACCATCACTACCTTGCAGGGCCAGCTGTGCAGTAGACACCATAAATGCTTATTTTTGCCACTTCTCTTTGCCCTTGAATGGCGGTGGGGGGTGGGAGAATTCAGGCAAGTTTGTGAATGGTAATCAGAGCTTATACTGTGCTCACTGAGTGCCTCCTACGGGTCAGGCACTCGGAAACACTTTCCATTCCTTAACCCACTTGACGTTCTTTTCATCCTCACACAGATGAGGAACCTCAGGGCACAGAGAGATCGAGTAATTGCCTGGAGCCACACAACAGGGACCCAGGATTCGAACCCATCAGCCTGGCTTCAGAACTCTCTTACCCGCCGTGCTGCAAAGGGCAGAAATGTAACTCAAGCTGGGGGAAATTGGGGAGCTGACCATCTGTTTGGGAACCCCCCAAAACAAGGCCCATCTTAACCCTCTGCCCCTGGCTAAGCCAGGCCTTACCTCCACAGTGATGGTGACGTTGACCTCAGTGCTGAGGACAGGCACTCCACAGTCAGACACACGCACAGTCAGCACAATTCGGCCCTCCAGGGCGGGATCAATGGCCTCTCTGTCCAGGGGCCCCAGGTTTCTGAGAAGCCCTGTGTCAGGGTCCACTGAGAAGTTGTGGCTGTAGGGACTGGGCAGCAGGCTGAAGTACAGACGGCTGTTGTTGGTGCCTGGCTGGTCGTCATCGTGAGCCTACACGGATAAGCAGAGTTGGGCGTCAACCCTCAGGTGCTACCTGGCCCTCCAGCCACACCTCTTCAGCCCAGCCTCCCCATCCAGCGCTGGCCCATGAGGGCAGTAATTGGGTCTGAATCTGTGAGATGCTGGCCAATCTTCCAGCCTCAGTTTCTGGGTCAGACAACAGCTTGCAAGAGCATCTGAGATGGTCATTCATTCATTCTACAAGTGTCTACTGTGAACCCACAATATGTTGGCCCTGTTTTAGGCACTAGGACTAGAGCCGGGATCAAGGCAGTTCCCTTATGGAGCTCATATTCTAGTGGGGAGGGGGTCATGGGGGAAGTATATTATAGACAGTCAAAGTTTAAACAAACACAAAACAAGAGTGAAGTCAACAAGATTCTGATTTTCTCATGACTGTATGTGTTCCTGTCTTGCCAGGGTCCTGAACACATGCTTGATTTGCCTTCAGAGTGATCCAGCACAGAAAGTACAACAGGTTCTTCCCTGCCATTGGGCATTTGCACATGCTGTCCCCTCACCCTGAATGGCTTTTCACCTTCTCTGCCTGACTCCAGGCCAGGTTGATGCCTCCACTGGGCCTCCGTGATCCCTATGTTCCCTTCAACATAGCATAAGTGACACCATGGGTTACTGTCCAGTGCCCTCCCCTAACTGAGAGTCACCTGGGACAGGATTATAATGGATTCATCTCAGAAAACCTGGGGTCCAGCAAAGGGCCTGATGCATAGTAGGTGCTCAATAAATGTGGTTTTGAATCCAGAGCTGGGCTACTCTAACTTGGAACCAATTCTTTCCCCTTCCTCCCTTCCATCTTCAGATCTTCATTTCAGTTCTATTGGAATCTTGTATATTAAATGCCTCCTGTGTAGACAACCAGAGGTGGTTTTTCCAAAAGCCTGACCCCATCTGTTCATCCCTCAGCACTCTGAACTCAAGTCAGCTACTTCACCAAGTGCCTCCCAGGGCTCATGTTGGGCACCATGGTTACAGCAGCAGATCTGACATGCTCCTGCCCAAGATGCTCGCAGACCAGGGTGAGAAGCATCAAGGAGCAGGGAAGAAAGGCAGGGCAAGGATGTCTGACCTCCAGCCCAGCACTGCTTTTACTGGCTATGCAACAACAGAAAAGGTCACTTAACCTCCTTGGGTCTCAGTTTTCTTCTTCTGTGAAATGGGGACCATTAGATCACCTGCTTCACAAGTCTGTCAGGAGATCAGGGATAGGAACGTGCTCTGGAAACCACACAGCCCCAAAAAGATGGGAGGACTCCATGGCCACGTGTGTGTTATTCTGATGACCTGGTTACCTGCTTCTCACAAGACCCCCATTCAGATGACTCAGGGGAGAAGCTTCCCTTAGGGGTTTCTCTAGAGCCAATAGCGGGTTTTTATCTCATATATTCATTGAACCCAGTCATTGATCTCATTTCCTTTTTTGCTTTGGCCATTAGGAAGCTCAGAACTGAATTTTCAGCCTATTTCTAGCAATTGTGTGGCTCTGGGTTCTAGATCTACCTTTGTGCCCTTTAACAGTACCATCCTTATTTCCTCTCTCTCTTTATTTCTTCCGTACTCTTATCTTACTTTTGAACCTAAGCCACCTCAGATCCTTTTTGGAATAAGGCAGAGGCCTGAATTTAAAAGAGCAGTATGTTTTTGAGGGCTTTGTGCCAAGCACTTTACACACATTATCTCATTACTCCCCCAGTGACCTTGGGAATAAGTAGTAAGGTTGCCCTCATATTCTGAAGAGGAAACAGAGGCCCAGAGAGGCTGAATGACTTCCTCATGGCCGCACAGCAAAGCCCAGATGTCAGTACAGGGCCAGCATGACTACAGAGCCAAGCTTGGTGCTCTTCCCTCTGTCCCACCCACTAGATCCAGGCCAGCTTGTACCTGGATGGTTATGGAGACATTGCCCTCCTCCTCCTGCACAAAGATGTTGTAGGAGCCGCTGACCACCGGCTTGTTGTCATTGATGTCCAGCACGTGGATCTCTAGCATCGTGGAGGACGACAGGTTCCCGCCATCGGTGGCCTGCAGCGTGAGGTAGTACACGGCCTGCTTCTCCCGGTCCAACAGCGTGCTGTTTCTCACCGTCACTGTCCCTGACTCTGGGTCCACCTTAAAGATATCTTCCCTGTGCATGGTGGCCAGATCGAGCAAATAAAAAGATAGGATGCCCACTTAAATTTGAAGTTCAACTAAGCAATGGAAAATATTGTACCATATCTCATGGTATATTTGCAACCTACTTATACTAAAAAAAATTATTCATTGCCCTGGCCAGTGTGGCTCAGTGGTTAGAGCATCAGCCCGTGGACTGAAGAGTCCCGGATTTGATTCCAGCCAAGGGCATGTACTTCAGTTGCATGCTCGAGCCCCGGCCCCAGTCAGGGTGCATGCGGGAGGCAACCAATCGATGTGCCTTTCTCACGTCAATGTTTCTCTGTCTCTCCCTTCCGCTCTCCCTGAAAAGTAAAGGGAAAAATATCCTCCCGTGAGGATTAAAAGAAAAATTATTCTTTGCTTATCTGAAATCGCAACGTAACCAAGTGTCTTGTATTTTATCTGGCTGCCCTGCACAGCCCCTGCCCGCCCTGAGGCCTTACCCATTCCCTGGAAGCAGGCTGTAGGTGATGTGGCCCCCCTCGCCCGTGTCTGGGTCTGAGGCCTGTGAGGCAGAGGGACAGACAATGGCACACTGTTCAGAAGCGATGGCACTCACTGCCAACTCCACACTTGATGGGGACAGGACTTCCTGCTCCCTGACAAAAAGGGAGAACCCCCGACACAGATTCACACTAGACGCCCCCCACACACACTCAGGCGTGCATGCACACTTGTTAAGACCCAAGGTTTCAGATGACATGGAGACCACCTTCTCCTCAACACCACCAATATTACTTAGCATCCAGTACCAACCTCCACCCAACTACCTTCCTATCACCAATACCTGGCATCATCCTGAGCACCAGACTACCCACCCCGCAACATCCCCCAACATTTCCAAATATCACCCACCGCTCATAAGATTGGCACCACCTTCGCCCTCCACCACGCACTGTGGTACCTCGCTCTACAAGCTACTCTGCGCCTCCTTCCCTCAGCCATCTCCCTGGTCTGCCCTCCGTGTCTCCCAGCCTGGCCCGGCCTGGCCCCCATCACTCACATGGATGCTGTTGGTCACCACAGAGCCGACTGCACTGTGCTCTAAGACACTGAGGTTGTACAGGCTCTCAGGGAATTCGGGCCGATGGTCATTAATGTCTCTAAGCTGGATGGTCACCAAGGCGACAGAGAAGTTCTTACTGACGAAGTCAGTGGCCACAACCTGAGGACAGGAAAGGAGGCCGCAGCATTGACACCAGAGCGCCCCATGGCCTGAGCTTTCCAGTGCCCCAGAAGGCCCCTTACCTGCACCAGCATCACCGTCTGCTTCTCATAGTCCACCAGCCTTGGGTCCTTCACCAGCACCTGTACATCGGCTGAACCTGCCGCCTTCTCAGGGGAGACGCTGAAGGCTGCGGCATCGGGGCCCCTCAGGGACAGCAGGAAGGTGCCGTTGAGGCCCTGTAGAGGTGGGCTGTATAGTAAGGACCCAACCTGCTGCAATACACTTACCCACACCTTCCCCCAAGTCCCTGGCCTCAGGTCCCTGCCTTAGGAAACCCTCTCACTGAGGTCCCAGGACAGGGATGGTCTCAAAAAAACTGAGGTACAAGGGCCCTGGGAGACTGGGCTGGTCACTAGTCCCTGGAAATGTAGACTTGTCAGAAGAATTCTCTAGGCTATGTGGGCCCCAGGTCTGGGCTGCAGAGATGGAGCCCAGACACACGCACACCACTCTCATGAAGCATTGCAATGAGCCTTCCTTACCAGCCACCATTCACCACCTTTCACCGCTCATACCAACACCAACACCACCAATACCCAGCATCACCCCATTACTGACCCAGCCTCCACTCCACTAAACACCAACCACCAACAACTCAACACATCCATCCAGCTACCACCACCCAATATCACCCTCCACTCTACATCTTGTACCAACTCAATATCACCAAATACAACCAAACACTATCCATAGTTATTCATCATTCAGTACCACCCAAGTAACCCCCCACTTACGAATGCTCTACAACTTAACACTCACTCAGACCCTCTGCACTCAACACTGCCCACATCTCCCAGTACCCAGTGCCAGCCCAACACCCCTAACTGGAACCTCCATCACCACCCTCTTCTCAACACCATCAAAAGCTGTATTCCACTCAATATTACCCAGCATCCAGTATCAACCTCCATCCAACTACTTTTCTGTTCACCAATACTTAGCATCACCCTAAGCACAAGACTACCCACCAGCACAATATCCCCCAACATTTCCAAATATCTCCCAACAACTCTGATTTTTACCACCACTCATGATCGGCACCACCATCACCCATCACTCACCCCCCACCATGCACCATGGTACCTCGCTCTACAAGTTACTCTGTGCTTCCCTCCCCCAGCCACCTCCCACTGTTCCCCCTGCCCATGCCACCCTTCGGCTGGGTGCACCTGCCTTGTCTGGGTCGTAGACCACCATGGTGAGGTCATCGATGGGGATGCGGGTGGAGGAGTGCTCATCCACAGAGCCCGTGAAGTTGACTTGGGCTTCTTGCGGGGTGAAGGTGCAGTTTGGGAGACTGCAGTTGAAAAACTCAGGTTTGTGGTCATTGACGTCTGTCACTCTCAGCGTGACCCATATGCTCACCTTGGCCTTCTGCCCATAGATATTGAGGTTCATCTCCGTGGCCTGAGAGCAGAGTGGAGGTCAGAGGTCAGAGGTTAGAGAGAGAGGGTGGGAAGGGGTGGTGGACACCTCACTCACCGTGACCTGCACATGCACCTCCTCACTCTCCTCCTCCAACAGCTGCTCACGATCCAGGGAGCCGCTAACCCTGATCACCCCATCTTCCCCAATGTCAAACCAGCCAGGCCTTGTGGAGTCTGGCAAGAGGCAACAGAAGCAGCTCTTTTCAGTGGCTTTGATGGGCCCCTACCCCTTCTTTGACCCCATCCCCAGCCTGGGGCCACCCTAGTTCTCACTGGAGATGGTGTAGATCATCAGGTCATTGATGCCTTTGTCTCTGTCCACAGCCTCCACCTTCAGCACTGAGGTTCCCTGCAAGGAGACATGGTCAATGGCCCAGACCCTCTTCCCATCTCTCATCTCCACCCAGGCCCCACCGCAGGTCCCCGGCACACCTGGGGTGCGTCCTCAGCCACAGAGGCCGAGTACAACTCCCTGACAAACTCAGGGTCCAGGTCCGGCTGGTCGATCACAGAGAAGGACAGGAAGACAGGTAAGGAACACCTGGTGATGAAGCTGTTGTTGTACATGCCCCCTGAGTCCTGCGGGAAGATAAGCCTCCATGAGCGGGGGCCACAGTCCCCGTGTCCCAGTCCCCCGCTGTGCCTGCGCCCCCACTCACACAAGCCTTCAGCTTCAGCTGGTAAAAGGCACTCTTGTTGTTGTAGCTGAGGCTGCCATTGAGAATGATGGAGCCGTTGGGCAGGATACTGAAGAGGTACTTGCTGTCGTCTGTGCTCGGGATGACCTGAGGCAGAGCACAGTCAGGCCAAGCTCCCCAACAGCCCTGCCCCCAAAACCTGCTCTGAGAGACTTGCAGTTGAATCCCAGCTCTGCTGTTAACCAGCGTTGCAACCCTCACCAGGTCACTAAACCTCTCTGAACCTCAGATTCTGAACCTCAGTTTCCTCTGGGAAGTGAGCTCAGATATTTGCCTCAGTGGGTTGAAAAGAGGGTCAGACAAGCTAAGGTATGCGTCAGGCAAGTAGTGGGTGCTCATAAACAGGAGCTACAGCTAGCAAATCTGTCTTCATGAGAACTGGGGTCGCACCCCTCTGGTCTGTGTGACCTTGGACAAGAACCTGGACCTCTCCGAGCCTTGATCTCCTCTACCCGGTGGTGTGACATGGACTCAGTAAAGGCCCAGACAGTGCCCAGGGCAAGAGGGTGAGAAGAGGGTCCTGTCCTCAGCAGGTACTCATGCTGCCCCTGGTGGCCATGAGGGGTGGAGGGGCCCACACTCCCGCACTCACCTCCTCTATGTAGTACTTCACAACACCTGCAGACCCCGTGTCTTTGTCTGTAGCCAGCACCGAGAACACCAGGGAGCCGACTGGCAGGGTCTGTGTAACAAGGGACTCATCACCTCTGAGCTCCAATCCATCTCCTTCACGCCTGAGTGCATCACACCCCCACCCTAACCTTCAGTGTCCCCAACTGTGGGATAATGACAGCACCTTCCAGGGCCTGAAATTCAATGTTCCACAGATGTTCCCTTTTCCTTCCCAACTGTGCTGGGCCTCTGGAGGCAGCTGGAGAGACAGGGAACAATGTCCCCCCTCCACTCCTCCTCTCCCCATGCAGCCTCCACACCACTTGAGCTGGCTTCTGATTTGCAGTGATCACTCCAGAACCCAGGATGTGTCACTCCCCTGATCAGACATCCCTGTGGGCTCTCTATAACCTACAGCTATAGGTTCCAGGCAGCACCCTGCAGAGCTGGAAGTTTCTTTTAGGACGCTTTTGCTGCCTGGGACCTGGCCCTGCAATTCTTGTCCACACCCTCACTATTTCCATATAGTGGCCAAAGAGATTCTTGAAAATTATGAATCAGGCTACATAGCTCTTGTGCTAAAAACACACTGGTTCCCCATTCCACTCAGAATACGGCCCATGCTGCCTCCATAACCCTCCACAGTCGGGCCACTTCCCACATCTCTGATCTCACCTTCCCCTCCCCCTCCCCCCTCCATCCACACTGGCTTCCTGGCTATGCCTAGAACACTCCATGCTCATCCCCATGTCAGAGCCCTTGCATCTGCTGTTCCCCTGCCTGGAACATCTTTTTCTGGAGCATTCTATAACCAGCTTCTTCTTGCTGTGTAGGTCTCTGCTCAGATTCACTTATTCAGAGAAGCCTTTCATGGCTGCTCAACCTAAAGCAGGCCCCTCCCCAGTCACCTCCTCTCACTTAGTCCTGTTTTATGAGCCCCACAAAGCTTTGCACCATCTGAAAAACCCTGCTTATTTAATGTTTCTTTGATTAGCGTCTGTGCTCTTGACTAGAATGAGAGCTGCCGAGGGTGGGCAACCAGGTCTGTCTTGTTCACCAGATATCCTTGGCGCCGAAGGCAGTGCCTGGTGCATGTGTGTGCTCCATCACAGCTGTCTGGACCTCGCCAGCCTCGTTTCTGGTGTGTGGAGACCTAACCTCATGGATCTTCACAGCCACGTGGTAATGAAGATTCAGGAGTGGTGTCGTTTGCTGCTCAGGGACCCCTGGGGACACTTTCCCCACCTATGCAGTTCAAATGAGGCTGCCTCCCCTTACTAGAGGCAAAGGCCTATGATGCAGACCTAGCCAATCAGAGCATTCCATACCCACATGACCCAAAATGGGCCAATGAGAGTCAGCCCTGAGACTTTGGTTGGGACCACTGAGAGACAGTCTCTGTCGAAGTCGCCAAACTGGTGGGATGCAAGCCTGGAGCTTCTAGGGACACTTTTATCACCACAAGGGAGAACTGCTCCCCTGCCCCAGAATGGAGGCAGCAAGAGAAGCAGAGCTGAAAGGTGGAGGGAAATCTCTTGTTGGTCACATGGTTTGAATACCTTGGATCCAGCCATGCCTGAATCTAGAGGTACCTTTAAGTTTTTCAGATACGTAAAAAAAGCAACTCCTTTTTCTTCTTCTTACAATTGAAAGAATTCCAATCCAGTCCAATTACTTGCCAAATGTTGCTGTGCCTATTGTTCGTGGGGTTGCAAGCCCTGGATTTGGTTCCTGCAGCCACCCCTTCTAGCAGGTACTCTTCCCAACCCTGGACCGCCTGTTGGCTGCTCCCCCCACACACACCCCATTAAGGCAGATGCTACCTCGCTGATGTTGGTGGAGAAATCGGTGTTCTGGAAAACAGGCGCGTTGTCATTTCTGTCCTCCACGATCACCTGAAATTCCTTCTGCACCTGTGAGGAGAAAGCCCAGGTAAGCCTGGAAAAGGTGGGCTCGGGGGGAAACAAAGTGGGGAGCATCTGGGCAGGAGAGCAAGTTGACATAGTTTCTCAGGTAGATAATTAGGCGATGTTTGGGGTGACCTTTTATTTGACATAATTTCAAATGCCACAAAAGTTGCAAGTGTAGCACCAAGACCTCTCATTCCCTCCATGCAGGTTTGCCCATTGTTTGCTTTCTCTCTCTCCGTGTTTACTGAACCGTGTGAGTGTAAATTGCAGACATCATTAAGTCACTTTTTAAAAATCTAAAATGCGCCTGTCCTATTACAAGAATTGTCATTTCAGCTTTGTTTGTCATGGTGCGAAGCTGTTGACAACCTAAATGTCCATCGGAACAGACCAGCTAAAGCACCGTGTCTGGTCCCCACCCTGGAACAGAGGCAGTAAAGAGACTAGGGCTCGAGCACAGACACGGAACCAGCTCCAAACTGATAGCTGAGTGGACAAGACAGTTCAGGACAATACATGCAGGAGGATCCATGCGGGCTTCCGAAAAGGCACAAAAGAAGACAGCCTTTCTTCTGCGGATGCATATGTGTGCGTGGACACGTGGGGAGCATGAAAGAACACGGAGGAAGTGGACACTTCAGCTGGGGGTGGGCTGGAGGGCTGCCTGAGGGGACTTGCCCTTTCTCTGCAGTTTTCGAGGTGTTTACAAAGAGAATGTATTCATAAATAACCAAGTCATTGAAATGATTTTTTAAAATGATGGGGCTTGGGAAATATGTTTTAAAAACAAACCCCTCAGCTTTCACAGACACAAGACACTGTGGTACTTAGAAATAGGAGTGTCGATACCAACACATTAGGCCAAAGGAGCTGAAAATGACCATCTCAGAGAAGTTGGCTAGGGAGGTATTTGGCATTTGTTTTTTATTAATATGTATATTAATTAATATAATTAGTTACATTTATAATATAAACAATGTTTTTATATAATTTAAGTAAATTAATAAAAATATTAAAATCTTTGTAATAGTGTATAACAAAAAGGGTAACAGTAAAATTTTGATAAAAATAAACATTCTTTTCTTTTTTGTTAACTGGGGCTCTTTCTGCTTATTTAAGGTGGGGGACCCAGTCAGGAGTAGACCCCTGTCCCCTGATCTCTGATCCCTGAACCAACCCCCCACTCACACCCCACAGTGACTTACTGGGTTGTTGTGACCGTCGTTCACGGAGATGTTAACTGCGAACCAGTAGAGTGTCTGCATTGGGAGGAGAGAAGGATCCCAAGGTAAGCCCCAGCTCAGGGTGAGAGCACAGCCAGGGCACTCACCATCGGGACACCAGCTCCCAGGGCCCTCCCTGTCTCCCTGTCCCCCTCACGGGCCTTCCCAGACCACCGCCCTTTACCTCATAGTCCAGAGAGCTGGCCAGCTTCACTTCCCCAGTGTTGGCGGTGACAGAGAAGAAGTAGGCGTAGGAGCCACTAATCCCATAGGTCAGAGGGTCCTGGTCCAAGTCCTTGGCTGCCAACCAGAAGGCCTCAGCACCTGGAGGTAGGACAGGGAATATCCAGGGGCCACAGCCACCTCTTTCATGGCTGGCCTGGCCAAGTTGCCCATGAATCTGGGCTAAGAGACCTGACTTCTCTGCTCCCAGAAATCTGGGACCTCCCCCTCCCCCAAGGCTCTGGTCTCTGCGGTCATGGGTGTCAGGTTTGGTGGTTGCTTTTTTAAATGTTTTTATTGATTTCAGAGAGAAGAAGGGAGAGAGAGAGAGAGAAATATCAGTTGGCTGCCTCCCACCCACCCCTCACTGGGGATCGAGCCAGCAACACAGTCATATGCCCTGGCCAGAAATCGAACTGGTAACCTCCTGGTGCATGGGACCACGTTCAACCAATTGAGCCATACTGGCCCGGCTCAACGACCTTTTGATCACAGCATCCTGCTTTCCTTTGGAAGAATGACCCCAACTGCACTAGAATCAGTAAAGTGCGCTGTTACCCAGGCATCTCCCCCCTCCCCTGGTCTGGCCCCAGGACCTGCCCTACTGGAATTCCTTGAGAGAAGACCAAAGATGGTTGGAGTTAAGGTATCTAGCTGCAACAGCTGGATGCATCCTAGAGTGGGGGGCTGCTGAAAACCCTCAGGAGGTGCCTGAGCCCCTTCTAAGTCTTCCCTTCAGCCTGAGAGCTTGCCCAGAACCTGCCAGGACACTCTGCTCAAGTGAGCATCTGCTGCTGGCCTTCCAGGAGCCCTAACTCTTTCACTGTGCCCCCAGAGAGCACACCCCTGGGCCTAGCAGGGGCTGGGAGTATTGGGGGTCTTAAAAATCCCAAGGTCATCTTCTTTCCAGCCTGAAAGAAACTTCTAAGACATTCATCAAATCCACACTTGCTCCCCCAGCCTCACCTCTTTTATCACATCCAACCTTTGCTCAACCACTTCCAGTGCCCATTGTTGGATAGCTGTTCATTAGCAAGGACTTTCTCCATTTTCTCAAAATGTACTTCCCTAGAGCTCCCACCCATGGGTCCAGCCTACATGATATTTGTCTTCACACCAATGTGGTCATAAAATGTAATTTTAATTTATTTTTCTGGAGAAAGGGGCCCACAAAGGCAAAAATGCCACAACAGTCGCATGCAGTCATGAGCCCAGCGCCCTAAGGGTCTCAGAGAACCAGCTCACCTCCTCTTGCCCTCAACAGCCCTTCAGGGACAGGCTTGGCAGAGTGCCCAAGTCTGCTTTTCTTTGATCAAGCAGTCCCAGCTTCTTCAACAACTCCTTGAAAAACTTGGTCACAGTCCCTCCCCATGAAGCTCCCCTCCTCCAGGAAGACCACCTGGGCAATGTTCTGCTAAAAAGATGTCAATGTCTGCATTATGTTTCCTTGGGTATAAGACACATTGTCAATTTAATCACTGCTTTGTTTAGGAGGGTTCACTCTGTATTAAGTGACTAGCTCAATTATAAGGCATATCCTGATTCAGAAACGTCAAAATGCAAGCAGATGTGGCCCTTACACCTAAGGAAATAAGGGAGGTGGTGGGTGGGTGTAAATCCTTATCTGTATACATTTGTCCATGGGGATAGAAAGATGTATCAGGGAGGAAATGCTTTTTAAAACATCTGCTTGAAAAAAATTAACTGTAAAAAACAAATCAATAAGAGCTACAAAAATAAAATATATAGTGTAGGTCTTTGTATATTAAATATTATATATGGCCTTGCCAGTGAGGCTCAGAGGTTGAGCACTGACATATGATCCAGGAGATCACCATTCGAGTCCCAGTCATGGCACATGCCCGGGTTGAGGGCTGGATCCCCAGTGGGGGGCCTGCATGATGCAGCCCATCAATGACTCCCATCATGGATGTTTCTATCTTTCTCTCCCTCTCCCTCCCTCTCTTTGAAATCAATAAAACATATTTAGCAGTGAAATTTACAATAACTAAGATCTGGAAACAACCCAACTACCCATCAGTAGATGAGTGGATAAAAAAGCTGTGGGACATTTATACCATGGAATACTATGCAGCTGTGAAAAAGATGGATCTCTTACCCTTTGGGACAATATGGATGGAACTGGAAAGTACTATGCTAAGCGAAATAAGCCAGTCAGAGAAAGACAAGTACCACATGATCTCACTCATATGTGGAATCTAATGAGCAAAATAAACTGAGGAACAGATAAATACAGAGACATAGAAGCATGGAGCAGTTGGACAAATTTCAGAGGGAAGGTGGGGGTGGGGAGTGGTGGGGAGATAGATTAACCAGTGACCTTAGATGAATATATACATGACCTATGGATACAGACAATAGTGTGGAAAGGACCTGGGTGGGTGGGGGTGGTTGCCTGGTGGAGAGGTTCAATGGGGGGAAAAGGGGGGACATCTGTAATGCTTTCAACAATAAAGAAAAAAGTTTTTAAAAAGAATTATATATGTTTGTCACTAAACTGAAGTTGACATTTAAAGCATCATAATTCTAGATATTTTTTAAAAGTCTGTCTGACAACGCTAAACTATTGCACAGTGTCAGTGTCAGGAACACCAGAGGAAGGATGGGGAGTGACTAGAAGGGGGCAGGAGAGAGGACTGGGGGTGTTGGCAGCGTCCTGAGTCCTGATCCCGTGGTGATTACGTGGAATCCAGTATGCTTTATATTACACAGGCGTCCCCTGCTCTTCCAAAGTCTGCCTTATGCCACTTCCGTTTTATGAAAAACCTACATTTAGTACTTATTTTTGCAACCCAAGGAAATCTGAGGAGGGTTTTCACTTTCATGGAAAAAGGCGAAAAGCAGAAATTGCGTCCAGCGTGTGTTTTGCAGCAGCCATGACAGAGGCAGCGAGCACCCCACAGCGAGAGGCCCGCGGGCTCCCCCCCGGGAACCACACTCGGCACCCCAGCGCCAGGCCCGCAGCTTTGAGCTGTGTCTGTGAGCATCTGTGCTCTATCTTGGTTTATACTGTGCATTATTAGCAAGATGTGTCCTAAGGTGTCAGAAAAGCCTAAGAGAGTTCGTAAGGGTGTGATGCTAAATAAAACTGGACGTAATTAAGTGTTTTGATCATGATAACGAAATAAAGACATTGTACATGCATTGAACTTTGGGTCTGAAAATGCTCAAAAATTTTTCCATATAAACTAATGATAATTGCTGCTTTGCTTAATGCCATTTTGGCTTAGGAAAGTTTTCATAGGAACACTCAACTTTTGGACAGTGGGGGAAATCTGTACTTCGAAATAAAAAGCCTAAATAACATTTTTTAAAAATCTAATTGGAAATGCTTTCACATTGCAAGAGAGTGGTAGACTTCATCTCAGGAAGGAGGAAGTTGGTCTTTGGTGAGGAGCAGCCATGTGGTTATAAAAGAGCAAAAGGCCCTCATTTGGTCTGGCTGAAAAGGAGGGAGGCGCGTTGCTCTAAAAAATACAGTGACTAATTTCCCAGGAGACTGCAGTGGGG